TCTTGATGAAGGATGATGAGATCCGACATCGATGGGAAGAGTATTTTGATAAATTATTCAATGATGAGAATACGGACACAACCTTTCAGTTGGATGACTCTTTTGATGACAATAATAGACGCTTTGTGCGGAGAATCCAAGAATATGAGGTCAGAGAGGCGTTAAAAAGGATGTAAGGCGATAGGACCGAATGGTATCCCAATCGAGGTGTGGAAATGCCTCGGGGACACAGCTATAGTATGGCTAATCAAGCTGTTCAACCATATTTTTCGATCGAACAAGATGCCTGACGAGTGAAGGAGAAGTATATTGGTACCGATCTACAAGAATAAAGGGAATATTTAAAGTTATACTAATTACTGGGGAATTAAGTTGATGAGCCATACTATGAAGCTATAGGAGAGAGTTATCGAGCATCGCTTGAAAGCAATAATGCAGGTCTGTACGAACCAATTTGGTTTCATGCTCGGAAGGTCAACCATAGAAGCTATTTTCTTAATAAGACAAGTTATGAAGCGGTATAGGGAGAAGAAGAAGGACCTATACATGGTTTTTATTGACTTGGAGAAGGCTTATGATAAAATACCAAGAAATGTTATGTGGTAGGCTTTGGACAAATATAAAGTCCCAACGAAGTACGTCGGACTCATTAAGGGCATGTATAACAATGTTGTGACTAGTGTTCGAACAAGTGATGGAGACACGGATGACTTCCCGATTAGGATAGGACTACACCAAGAATCAGCTTTGAGCCCTTATCTGTTTGCCTTAGTGATGGATGAGGTCACCAGGGACATACAAGGGGACATCCCTTGGTGTATGCTTTTTGCGAACGATGTAGTGCTAGTTGATGAAAACCGGACAGGAGTGAATCAGAAACTGGAGTTATGGCGGGAGACTTTGGAGTCCAAAGGTTTTAGACTCGGTAGAACTAAAACTGAGTATATGAGATATGACTTCGGCACTATTACTCAGGAGAAGAAATATATTAGTTTAGAAGGCAAGTAGTGCCTAGAAAGGATACATTTCGATATTTAGGATCAATGCTACAGAGAGACGGGGATATTGATGAAGATGTTAGCCATAAAATTAAAGCAGGGTGGATGAAGTGGCGCCAAGCATCTGGTGTCCTATATGACAAAAGGGTACCACAAAAGCTAAAAGGCAAGTTTTATAGGACGACGATTAAACCTGCTATGTTGTATGGTGCAGAATGTTGGCCTACGAAAAGATGACATGTTCAACAGATAAGTGTCGCAGAAATGCGTATGTTGTGTTGGATTTGCGGTCATACAAGAAGGGATCGAGTTCAGAACGATGATATACGTGATAGATTAGGGATAGCACCAATTGAAGAAAAGCTTGTCCAACATCGGTTAAAATGGTTTGGACATGTCCAATGGAGTCCTCCAGAGACACCAGTGCATAGTGGAATCCTAAGCCAGGATAGTAACGTGAAGAGTGGCAGAGGAAGACCGAAGTTGACTTGGGTAGAGGCAATAAAATGAGACTTGAAAGGATTGAATATATCCAAAGACTTAGCCTTAGATAGGAGTGCTTGGAAAATAGCTATTCACGTGCCTGAACCTTGATTGCTTCTACTGGGTTTTAATTCTAGCCTACCCTAACTTGTTTGGGACTTAAAGGCTTTGTTGTTGTTGTTGTTGTAAATCTAACCAAATGATTATTTGTCTTGATGAAAAGTGAGACTTTCATTCTTTTTAGGACAAAGAGAGTAAGACCAGTCTCAGTGGGAGTTTCATGTGAGTTTTATTTGCATTGAATAGGTTGACACAGATATTTTTTATGACATGGCAGTGTATTCTCTTGGCATGATTACCAACTATCTATGAGTCATAAAATTAAATGCAAATTAAACTATGGAATGAAACTTTGTATTGAGAATGGATGTTTCATCCTAGTTTCATTTTATTCTATCTGACATGGCAGTTTTGGAAACAACGCCATGAAACTATCCACTAAGACTGGCCTAATTGACAGCAGACCGGCAAGTAGCCGTGTCAGTGAGTCAATCAATATAATGTTTAACCAAATAAGTTCAAAATAAGTTGACATTTAGAGTAGTCTTAAATCAAACTATTTTAAGTTTGATTAAATCCATAAAAAGGTGCATCAATATCTAATATATTTATTTGGTGTGATAGGTGTTGTTACTCTTTGCTATAAAATTGATTAAAGTTAAGCTAGTTTAACTTAGTGTGATTCTAGAAGTTTATTGTTTGGCATGCCAAACGGTGGATGCCGAAACAACTCCTTGCAAGAAGCCTAGAGAAGCCAGAATAGTTTTTGTACCGAGAAATCGGAAGCGCTGGAATGTGGTTTCTCCTGGCTCCTAACAAAATTGGCATAAAACTCTACTAAAAAAGCTGCTCCACAAGAGAAGCCAGATTGGGAGCCATGTCAAACTAATCCTTATTTTTGGATAGAGTGAGTACATCATTAGACTAATAATAAAATATACGAAAAATAATAGTATTTATGATACAACTTCGTCCCCCCAAAAAATAATTTTGAGTACATTCTATGTTAAAATATCTAAAGTTTAAGCAGATGTATAGAAAAAAATAAAAATGACTATGACACTAGATAGGTATACTAAAAATATATATCATGACAATCCTAATGAGACTTATTTAATATCATAAATTTGATATTTTTATATATAAGTTAGTCAAACTTAAGGTACTTTTAACTTCGTATTATGCTAGAATTGTATTTTTTTTCCTCTAGATGGGTACATCTCACTAGATTCATCATGAAATATATCTTTATCTATCTACACCTAAAAAATAAGTACGGTCATCGTTGTATCAATTAACCTTCGCCTTGCTCCCTTCCGCAGGTCCAGCCATGTCTCCGGAGTCCCCCTGGAAACGGAAGCGGACTCTGGAAGCACATACTGTCTTGCCAGCCACGTTACCGTTTATTTATTTCCAAAGAACCACGTTGCCGTTTATTTATTTCCCAAAAATAAACCTCGTACGCGCTCAGGTAGTTCTGCCGTGCGAATCCAGTCCATAAAAGAGACCCCACTTTGCGTGCTACCCGGACGCTCGGCATGGTATCGCCCCGCTTAGTTCCTGCTCTGATTCCTTGTTTTCTAAGTTCTCCTCTTTTCCATGCCTTTCGGGAACTGTCGCGCCTTATCGACGTGTTCTTGGGAGCGGCACCTTCGGATTGATGTACCGCGCCAAGCTCCTCTACAGGTGCGAGGTGGCCGTCAAGCGGGCAGAGCGCAACGGCAATGGTGGCCGACGGCGGCGTCGCTTCGAAGCAGAGCGCGCGCTCCACGTGGAGCTTTTGTTGCCGTCGCGTGTGAACCACCGCAACCTGGTGCAGCTCCTGGGCTTCTGCGGCGAGCGCATCCTGGTATTCTCCACGACCCACCTATACACGACAGCAGCAACCGCGCTGGCTCACTCGCCGCGCCTCATTAACGCGCAGCGCTTCACGGAGCAGCACCACCTTCGCTGCCGCCCCGCATCAGCTACTCTAACGAGACCTACAACAACATGTGACCTCGTGCGTGGTGGCTTCCAGCAAAATGAGACCTCCAGCAACAAGCTCGGCAAGTATGAGGCTACGATGACTTGATTCGTGGTGGCCGGCGTACATGCATGGCCACGTGGACATGATGATATGTGACGTCACAGTGACTCATTTCCCCTTACAAAATAATTGATAAAATACTATCATACATGTACGCCGATCTATAAAAAAATAATAAAAGCCAACTGATTGTCTCATTCGATCAGATCCATAGCCCATGCAACGCACGGGATATATCTATGAATATAACTATACTAGTTCTTTGGGTGCGCCCATGCGCGCGGGTCACTGGCCACACGTATTTTTTAAGAAAAAAAGATATAATCAAGGGGGGGTCTGTATTTCGATTTGAGAAAAATCTGAGGAGGTTTTCGAAAAAATCGCTGAGAGTGTCTTTGGAGTGCGGGTTGATTTTTGATAAAAGGAAGGTTTTTTTTGCAAAAAAGCCGGAGCTCATCCGTTCTGGACTGTGGGTTGATTTGAAAATTATCTGAGGTGTTATTTACAAAATATTCTAAGAGAGCCTCTGGAGCGCGGGTTGATTTTCCAAAAACATAAGGGGTTTTTCGTAAAATGACCGCGCCTCGCTCGATCTGGGCCGTCGATGCGGCCGATCGAACGGCCGGCGACGTGGCGCGCCGTGTGGGCAGCCTGGCCACACGCTTTCTTGTCTTTAGATTTGGAGATACTTGATACTATCTTATATAAATAAAAATCTAGTTAAAGTCTAATTGACTTCTCAAAGATCGAGAACTTCCTTTCAGAAAGATGGAATGATACGACTCTCGCAGGCTTAAAGGCGCTCATTGTCTAGGAAAGGACACAGAATCGCTGTATCAATTTTATCGGTTTTTTAGTCTTAATATACACAACTCACAAAAAGAATATTCAACTCAGAAAGTATCCTGTATTCTACATTTGTACAGATCTCTAGATTTAGAACTTTAATCCAATCCAAAAGTTTAGATAGACCGTTTAGATTTCAGCAATTCACGGATTCTAAAGACATCTTAGAACGAGACACCAAACAGAACACATTCATTATTGAGAATGGGACAGACAAATGCAATTGTCCCACTGACCCTGTGAGGAATCAAGAGAACCAAAAAGCACAGACCAATGAGACCAGCCATTGATTTAGGACCACTCATAATAAACGGCAATGAAAAGGTAAAATGCAAGTGACAACAGTTTAAAGGGCTTCCCAACCCAACCGGACCTGGCTCCAGTGCCCCCCGCCTGAAACGAGGTGGGACACCGAGGCCTTGCCCGGCAACATCTCATATGGGGAGCCCCCAAATTTTCCCGACAATAATCATAACACAGGCTACAAGCGTCGCACCCAAGAAACCAGGGTCCAGATCACATTGCATAGTGTCATTAGACAGCAGCAAACACTAGTACTAGTTTCTAGGCACGTAAAGCCGGCTTTACTGCCCCTCGCTCGAGTCGCGCTTGGGCGCCTCCCTGATCTCTTCAGCAGGGTCCTCCTGCAGCCAAGCACCAGAAATATGATTGTTCAGGGAAAAGGTTGATTTCAGGAAGATTCAGTTCAAGAGTGCGAAGAGAACATAGTGTTAGCGACATGGGTCTTACCGAGATGTCAGAAGTCCATAGGGTCAAGTTATCACGGAGGAGCTGCATGATCAAAGTGCTGTCCTTGTAGGAGTCCTCGCTCAGGGTGTCCAGTTCCGAGATGGCCTCGTCAAAAGCCTGCAAATTGACCAGGAGGGAACATCAGCATGATGTCTTTCACATGTCAATGGTCTCAACTCTCAACAAAGAAACGAACTATAAACAATTAAGATGTCCATTCTTCTTTCAGTCGTGGAAGACTTCAGAACACCAGATAGGGTAAAAAAATATTCAAGCGCATGAGCTAAGCTGGAAGACTTCAGAACACCAGATAGGGTAAAAAAACATTCAAGCGCATGAGCTAAGCTACAATATTTGAAAAGATCAAACACATTGCGATTTAATAGCATGACAAACTACACGAAGTCTACTCGCAGAAACAAAACTGACCAAATACATATACCCAAAAAAATGGAGAATATTGCTTAATGCCCATTTTTTTATGAGCCACTGAGGACCTAAAACCTAAACTATTAGAACAAACAATTTCAACAAGTGCAGAATATACTGTAATATTTTATTCTCATAAAGTCAATTTGACATTGATCTAAAAGGATTTGAATAACTGTTCAAGGACAGATTTAAATTCATTGCAGATAATAGTTTAATACAAAGTAGCAGCCAACCAAAGGACATTACGCTTCTCTTATAATCTGTCTTTTTCAGCTTGTTTTTTCAGCCGGAACAGTGTTTCGAACATTTTTTTCAATGAAGCGAACAGGGCCAAAAGGTTAGGTACACCCAATAGGATGCTCTAGTGTGCACACACTCAGCACAACAGTTGACTGCAATTAAAAGGTGTTGTCTCCCAAAATACTGATTCCAAGAAATTTCCATTGTTGCATACGTCAATGACAGAATAGTGAAGAACCAAAATGTTAGGTTTCCTGTCCATATCACAACTTGTGCACCAACCAATCCATGTATAAAAAGTACACATTTATGACTGCAGGTGTGACAACGGAAAACAATTACTCCCTCCGTTTTTTACATGATGTATTAGGTTTGCCTTAAGTCAAATGTTTCTCACTTTGACCATCAATTTCAAAAAAAAAAATATCCATGTAGTTTCACATGTGAACCACATATACTATGAAAGTATTTCTCATAGTGAATCCAAAAACATAAATCTTTTGTTGTTAGCCTATATTTTATTAAAAAAAAACAAAGGTGCTCAAAGATAGAAATATTTGACATAGGACAAAACTAATATGCATGTAAAAACACAGGGAGTAGTATTTTTCATTAGTGCAGTTTTAAACTTTTAATATCTAATATCTGGAGGGCTTCATAGTTCATACACCAGAAAAATTAACTTAAAATTCTCACTAAAGGGTTGTAGCATTGAGTCTAGTGATGCATCAAAGGAGAAAAAGGCAACATAGCAAATATGGTCCTCTAGTGATAATATTGTGATACACTAACGCCCTATATGCCATTTTCCCCTTACTGCTCAATTAACAATGGTCTAAATCATTTCATAAGTACAGCATATCATCAAAAGCAGACCAGCAATTCCCTACACAAGCACTGCACATCCACATAGATAATATACTAACAAAACATCAAATGATGCTGAAAAACAAACCTGCTTTGCAAGACTGCAGGCGCGATCAGGTGAGTTGAGAATCTCATAGTAGAACACTGAGAAGTTAAGTGCCAATCCAAGCCTAATAGGGTGAGTTGGAGCAAGCTCAGCCAAGGCAATGTCCTGAATGCACCACAAACCCCTTTTCAGCAAACTTGTAATAAAACATGACATGAAAAAAATTAGCATAATGTTTCACAAACAAAATTGCACACTGATTAAGAAATGAAACAAAAAATTGTTGACCTGGGCAGCCTTGTATGCCACCATGGTGTTCTCAGCAGCGTCCTTTCTCTCAGCTCCAGTCTTGAACTCAGCAAGGTATCTAATCATGACAATTGAATCAGTCAAACGAAAACACAATCCCAAAGAAAATGTGGAAGTCTTACTGGGATTCATATAATCATATTACCTGTAGTAGTCACCCTTCATCTTGAGATAGAAGACCTTGGACTCAGGGAGCAGTTGAAGAGGGCACAAGGTGGGACTCGAGCAGCTTGAGGATGCCATCACAGATCTTGGTGAGCTCAGTCTCAATCTTGCCACGGTAGTCCTTGATGAGTGTTACACGGTCCTCATTGCCTCAGCCCTCCTCCTTCTGCTCAATGGAGGAGATGATGCGCCATGAGGCGCGGCGGGCTCAATGACGTTCTTGTATGCAACAGACAGGAGGTTGCGCTCCTCCACAGTGAGTTCCTCAGAGTCAACAGTCTTGGCTACCTTCTCCATGAACTCAACCATCTCCTCGTACCTCTCTGCCTGCTCGGCGAGCTTGGCCATATACACATTTTCCTCACGAGAAAGCTCTGCTGATGCCATCTTACAGTTCAGTTTTCAAAACTTTTCAGTACGCCGGATCTGCAGGGTTGGGGCAAGCAGTAAGCTAACTTCATCGCACGATTAACACTTTATTGATCTGTGGCACGAATAGCTATTAGCTAGTCGAGATCTCCAGCTAGTCATATTCAGACGGGGGAATTTCAGAGGAAAAAGTAAATTCTAAGCATAAAACAAGGAAATTCATGGTCTAGTCAAGGCAATTTTAACATTAACTATTTGAAAAGGAGAGGCTACTACAGTATCTGCTTGGCGAATTTTGCCTACAATAACCACAACTAAACCTAGCTGAAACATGTCTATTAGCTTCCAACACTTCCTCTAACCTTGAAAAGCGCCAGATCTGAGTACCTAAGTACGAACTTCCAGCGGTAAAACTGCCGCTTAATATGCACGACACAGAATCAACTGGTTCGACTGGAGTACAGGCTTTTGACGGATCCGTACGCGTACAACATCAGATCAAGCGGGCATGGATCCCGTCCTCGCGCCTACTCGATCTAAAGCGACCCAACCACCAGCAGTAGCGGCGCCCCAAACCCGTGCGGAAACGAGATATTTATAATACAAATCCAACGAAAGGGGATCGAAGCAACAGCGATCCAAAATCAAGAGAGGAGGAGAAGCCGAGGGACGGAGGAGAGGGAGAGCGAGGGGTACCTCTGCGTGCGTCGTGCTCGTCGAGCTCCGACGTTCGAATTGGGGGTGCGCGAAGAGACGGCGCTGCCTGGGGTCTAGAAAGGGCTGGTCTCCGAGTCCCGCCACCCAATTATATGGTGACGCGTGTCGGCGCCACCGTGGCAGCCCTAGTCCCGCGCGGTGCATGTGGTCATCTGGCCCACCGGGCAGACGGAGCGGAGGCGGAGCCATCGACGAATTCAAGGCCGTCACGACGTGTGGGGACCGGACAGCCTGCTCCACATGTCAGGGTGGCCCGCACGCGGAGCCTGCCTGCCTGCCTGCCGCTGTGATGGTGGGCCCGGTGCCGCCCTGGTGATAAGCTCGTCGGGTCGGGCGCCTCCGGCCGCCGGCCCCACGCAGCGAGACGACAGCCTGGAGGCGTTGGACCGAGGGGGCGGCGCGGGGCCGAAAGGAAAAGGAAAAGGAAAAGGAAAATGATTCTTCTCGCACGGGCCGCAAAGCTGCCTGGGTTCACCGATCCGTGGGCCCGCGTGGCTCGCTGGCCACGTGACGTCCCTTCGTGCGTCGGGTGCGGGTAAAGAACTGGTGGGTGCGGGCAGGATGGATCTGGACCTGGACGGCACAGGGCGCCGGCGGGGCGTGGGGAGCGACAGGGCGTGTCGCTGAGGAGGCCGCGGGGCCCACTCCTGCGCGAGCGTCACGTGACGTGTGGCGCGCGGCAACGACTGCCAGTCGGATCGAGACATGGAGTGATGGGACTTGCAAGATGAATTTAAAATCAACTCAATTATTAGATATTTTGGTTTTTTATACATTATTTTTACTATATATTTAAATATAGTGTATTTAACTGCATAACAAATATTATATATTTAGAAAAGTCAAAATGTTTTGTAATTTAGAATAGAGAGATTAAGTTTTAATTCAAAACTAAATGTGGATACAAATATTTTTTATTGTGAATAAAAAATATAATTTTAATTTGGATTCACATTTAGATACCTACCTGGTTGTAAAGAACAAATATATTTGTTTTATTGATTATGTTAATAAAAATCATTATACATGTAAAAATTTAAATTATATTATATACGGAGTATTTATTAATAAATATTTCTATTTTCTAAAATATATCAAATAAAGACAAAGATGTAAATAAATAATTTAGTATAGATATATATTTATTCATCAATATAGTAAAATATATAAAGCAATCTTCAATATGTAAATAAATAATTTAAACTATTTAAACTTAATATGATTATAACCATACTAAATTGATTAAACTTAACCTTTGTATATTATTAGTTATATTAAAATTAATATAATGTCATTAGCAGTAGAGATGAACTTTAAAAAGTTTAATCATATGTAATATTAAAATTAATATTTTTACATTAATTATTAGTCATAGGTACAACTTTTAAATATAGTTTCACTTGCTACTTTATTCTTCACATATACATATCTTATCATATATTTCATATATTTTTTAATATTGGTCTGAAATTGAATAGAGAAATTTTTAAAAAAAATGAATTTTAGATATCTATTTAACCTTCATATTAGAATCGGTTCAAATATAGATAGCTATATTGATTTTTTTAATGGATACATATATTGGATAATTTATAAATATTTAGGCATGCGAGTCCATCCTAGCTACAACTACGAGTGGTAGGGAACCAAGAACGGGACATGGATGTTGGACAGATGGACAGAGTTGGGCTTGGCAGCGCGACGACCAACCGCCCATATTCTGAGCCACTTAGTGGCGGCCGTTAACGCTTCAATGTGCTACATTTTTGTAGACACCTCGATATAATATGGGGTGTCGTCATTTACTACTTGGTGTCGACGCTCCCTCTAGAGATGGAGCTTTGTATAAACTATATGTGTCGCCACATGATTCAGAGCAACTGTAGTAATGACCTCTAAAATAGGGCTCCAAGTTGGGATCTGGGAGTTTCTTCTATTTTTGAGGTTAGACTCAACTGCAAAATTAGCCCTCAAATTAAGGTTCCTACCTTTTTTAGGCTTATTTATTAGTCATAGTATTCTTATTCTTTTTTCCTCTCCTATTCTGTCCCTGCTCCTGTCCCAGCCTAGCAATGAGGAGCTTGCCGGGAGGAGATCCGGACCTAGGGCTCACCGGGAGGGGCAGGCTTGGCCTCGATGGTGGCGCAATGAGAGCGCGAATAGGCGGCGGCACAGGAAAGAATTGGGACGAAAAAAGATGTGCATGAGGGAGCTGGTACGATGAGAAAAAAAAATCTAGAAAAGAAGTAGGACCTCCTCATGCACTCCTGAGAGATGAGATTGTTACGAAAAGATTTAGAGGCCTCTACAAGATGGGGATTCGAGTTGGAACTCTGTTGGATTCAATTTTTTAACTCATAACACCAAAAACTGGAGTAGGGGCTCTGTACAGACTATATGCACCTGTCGTTACATGAATACATGATTCATACGGGATGAAATTGGGAAGCAAAAACTACCTCTGCGTTTTAATGCCAAGAATCGTGCATCAAAATGCGAAATCACTCAAATGTGATTTTAATTTAAAAAAGACATTTTGTTTCCTATGTGAGAACCTGGATATGGAAAATGCCAAGTGGGCTGATAGAAAATTTAGCTATTGTTACCGGGTCGTTGTCATTCTCCTGCTGAGATGTCCAGTCTCCCTTTCACAAACAAGAACATCCAAGTTTGAACGTAAATCCCCTGTCACCTGGTCCAAATTTACGGCTAATGATGGCACGCTCTGTGTTGATACCATTGTTTTTTACTCCGCCCGCAGCCTTGCACACCTATCTCATTTGCCAGTTGCCACCATTTGTCTTCCTCCTTTAGGTGACGTTTGAGGTTAGAACGGGTAATTGAGCACTTGCTCTCTCTTCCTCCCTCGTATTCCCTATTTCCCTTCCCCTTCCGCAGTTCGGCCCTTCCCACGGCTAGGTGAGGCATCAATGTTGAACTATCGCGATTAATATTCGAGTCAATTCTAAATATCATAGTGCTACTAAGTGCAGCAGATTAATCTATGGATTGACAACCACTGACTGCGTTGGCTATGACTAGTATTACTTTCAAGTTCTACCAATGTTGCCGTTTTATATGTTACCATGTCTACTTAACCCGTCACCACAATTCCTTACCAGGTGTACTATCTAAAACTTGTTTTTGATACATATTGGTAATATAGGTTAAATCCTAACGCTCAGAAAAACAGTATCTATTATTTTTTAGAAATAAGTTCCAATTAAACGTTTCTTTCAACACATGAACTAAAACTAAAGTAGCATATAAATTGGAAACAACAACATAATATTTTGCTATTTCTGCACTTTGTAATCTTTAATATGTCATCACTGTATGACAACAGGTTGGTTGGCAGAGGGTGTCGTGGAATATGATGTCTACTATAGGGAGCTCTAAGCCTATGACATAGTTTTATAACAGAGAAAAAAATTCAGTTCAACCAAAGCTAAATTTGTTGAGAATCAAACTAAGAGGCTTTTGGGCTGATCTTTGGTGTGGTACTTACACTTTGATGGAAGCTTCTCCGACGCTTTTTAGTCACACTTTTAAAACCAAATGCTTCTTTTTGAAGTCCTTCCTGGAGAGGATCCCATCCTCTTTGAGGCAGAAGAAGTCTGACGCATGTTGCTACTCGTGAGCTTGATGAACTAGGCTCTCCTCCGTTAATCTTAGCCCTGATGTATCTAACACTAGTCATGAGAAGTAACACCTTAAATTACAGGTTTTGCAATTTAATCAATTTACCCTGTTCGCTTGAACTTATCAGCACTACTTTTCAGTCATAGAATAACGTTTTTCTCTCACAACAAATCAGCATCAGTATCAGCAGAAGCCTTTTTTCAGCCAGCCGAACATATAAATCATAGGCCACATGCATCTTGCATTCATTGCCGTTGCATTTATTATTTCTACATGCTTAATTTTAGTTTTCTGAATTTTCTCTGCATACAATAGCTTTACTCTCGTCTCTAAAAGATCAATTTTAGAGGTTTCTAAGGAAATCTCTTTTATTGTTTTGGGTCGAGCCTAGCTCTGGTTGTCCCTTCCCATGTCCCCTTTCTCTGTTTCTTAGTTGGGCTGAGGCCCAACAAACTCGGATGCACGGGAGCGGGACACCAACCTAGCAAAGCAGCCGAAGCCCTTATCCTTGCTAAAAAAAAAAAGCCAAAGCCCTTATCCCATTCCTCATGGTAAAAAAATTATTCTTCCTCCCTGAACTATCATCATTCTTATTTTTCACCTTGAACTCGAAAACCAAACATCTTAGCCCCTGAAGTCCCAAAACCATTTAAATTATCTTCATGTCATGGTTTGGAATGGTTTTGAAGACGAGTTTATCTTTTACAATTAAAAAAAGTAATAGTTGGTGATGTAGGCCGTCGGAACTTCCGACGTGCTCAAAACTAAAGAGACCAGGCACCGACAATGCTATGTTAATTCAAATTCCGACAATGCTCAAAACTAAAGTTAGTTCATTCAAATTCCGGGACTTCTTCCTATTGAAGCTAGTTGTTTTACCTAAACCAAACCGTACGACAATTTCACTTTGCATTTGCCACTCAGCTATTGTCGCCATGGCATGCAGCTCCCTGTCCGGGCATGTACTTGTCCAAAGAAGAATCCGATCGGTGACGGAAACGATTAATTATGCGCCAAACAAGCCTAAATGAAAAGGGCGCAAATCCGTCGCTGCTTTAATAATCGCGGATAGATTAATTATGCGCCGGAATTGACGTGACAAAGATTCCCTGCGATTTATTCGAAACACATCTTTGCAACCGCACGATAAGTTTTGATAATCCGCGGATGAACGCAGGCCTCTGCTTTTGTTTCGGCACCTAATCATTCTTACCGAGAACGCTAATGATCTACAGAAGCTTTTTTGTCTGCGGTGCGGGTACCTAAATTCCGGGACTCTTTTCCGGGAAAAAATGAGCCGAGTCATGATGCCCATTGCTCGCTGACGAGCTGCTGCTATATATACCATGGTGCCATGCCACATTGCATTGCCTCCTGTGTCAGCGCTAGTGTGTGCAGCAGCGATCTGACTGACCATGGTCTCCCCTTCGTCAGCTCTCCCCAAGGTTCTTGGGCACGGCTGACTGACTTCCATTCCATGCATGGGCCTGATTGAGACGACGATCATTCACCAGCAGGTGCTGTTTTCTTGTGCTCCAGGTTGTCGATGACGCCACCGGTGAGGCCACCCCTCGCCGCGCCAAATGGTGGTACGTGACGTTCCACAACGTCACCGCGATGGTCGGCGCCGGCGTGCTCAGCCTGCCGTACGCCATGGCTCACCTAGGATGGTAACCGACTGACCCTGACCCACGACTCACGGCTCACGGCGTGGCTGGCTCACTCGAGCAGTGTTTCTTCTTCTTGCTTCGGTTCATCAGGGGGCCCGGGTTGGTGGCGCTGCTGGTGTCGTGGGGGATCACGCTGTACACGCTGCGGCTGCTGATCGAGCTGCACGAGTGCGTGCCCGGCGTGCGGTTCAACCGGCTCCGCGACCTCGGCGCGCACGCGCTGGGCCCGCGCCTGGGGCCCTGGGTGGTCGTGCCGCAGCAGCTCATCGTGCAGCTCGGCTGCGACATGGTGTACATGGTCACGGGCGGCAAGTGCCTGCAGAAGTTCGCCGAGTCCTTGTGCCCGCGCTGCGGGCCGCTGCACCAGTCCTACTGGATCTGCATCTTCGGCTCCTCCCAGTTCCTGCTGTCCCAGCTGCCCAACCTCGACGCCATCACCGCCGTGTCCTTCGCTGCCGCCGCCATGTCACTCTGGTACGGTGCGGTCGGCACTTCTTACTGATCGAGCTACGTGCGTGCATGCTTCGATCTCAGTGACGAACTCGATCGCATGCGTTGCGTGCAGCTACTCGACCATCTCGTGGGCGGCGTGCGTGGCGCGCGGGCCGGTGCCCGGGGTGAGCTACGCGTACAAGGCCGGCACGGCGGCGGACTCGACGTTCCGGGTGTTCAGCGCGCTGGGGCAGGTGGCGTTCGCGTACGCGGGGCATGGCGTGGTGCTGGAGATCCAGGCCACCATCCCGTCTACGCCCACCAAGCCGTCCAGGG